TTAATTTTTCTTTTTCCTATTCTAGTTGAGTGTTTTCTCTTTCCTTACCTTCCAAATCACTGATTTGATTCCTGCTTCATCCTCTCTACTGTTGATTCCCTGTAATGTATTTTTCATTTCTGACTGGTTCTTTTCTATGTTTTCTATCTCCATTTTTATATTTCCTATCTCTTTGTTGAAGTTCTCACTAAGTTCCTCTACTTTTCTGCCAAGTTCACTGAGAATCCTTATAACCAGTTTGGAATTCTGTATCTCATAGATTGCTTGTCTCCATTTGTTTAGTTCTTTTTTTGGAGTTTTGTTCTGTTCTTTCATCTGAAACCTGTTTCTTTGTCTCCTCATTTTTGACTGCCTCCCTTAGTGTTTGTTTCTATGTATTAGGTAGAGCTACTACATCTCCCAGTCTTGGCAGAGTGGCCTTATGTAGAAGGTGTGCTCCAGGCCACAATGGTGCAGCCTCTTCAGTCACCTGAGCTGGGTGCTCCAGGTGCACATCCTGTGTGGGCTGTTTGCAACCTCATGTTGTAGTTGAGCCTTGATTGCTGTTGGCTCATCGATGGGAGGGATTTACTCCCAGGCCAATTGGGTCCCCAGACTGGTTGTGATCACAGCAGAGAACTTGCTGTGCAGGGACCTACCCCACAGAGCAGAACTAATTTAATCAAGGCTCAGGTACCCACCAAATCAACCCCTTCAATGTGCTGTTTGTGGAGGTGGTTGGGTAGTGCTTTGGTGCCGGGAGCCGGTCCATCCTTGCTGCTTGACACAGTTGCTGCAGAGAAGAAACATCTGCATAGCATATGTTTCAAGGGACCTGGCATATATAGCATATTGTTCTTAATATGTTTGCTCCCCTTAGTGCCATGTGTTTTAACCAAGGTCACCTCTCTGAGAAAGGTTGTTTCCCCAGGTGGGGATTTTTCCCTGAGGTTAGGGAGGGGATACAACCCCTTAATTAAGTGCCAGGCGGGTAGTTAAGCTACATAATCTTTACTCCCTGGAATGGAGATAAGAAACGCCCTAACCTTTGTAATAGAAATTGACAGGATTAAAATCGGCTGGTATAAATACGGATGTAACAAGACAATAAACAACACAACCTGATCAGATCCTCATCACATCCTCATCAGATCATCAGATCCTCATCACATCATTATCAGATCCTGATCAGTTCCTAACCAGAACTCCGACCAGAACTTTGGCTAGAGATCCTGGCTAGAGGTCCTGACTAGGCTGCTGATCAACTGAACGCTGACCCCATGTCATTCCTTCATCGCCGACTCCGTCCACACCTTTGGGGATCCCTGGACCTGCTGGGGCCGGACCCCAGCATGTATGAAATTTAAATGCCAGGTTGGGCCCTGACCACCCCACCTCCCTCAGGGCTGGGGTCTCTCTGGACTACAGCCTCCAAAGACAGCTTCTCAAGTCGACAAACGGGGTGACCAGTAGCACCTCCATATATACACATTGTAAAAGGTATCTCTGATGTAATAGAACTCTAGATCCTACCACCTCAATCTGCCCCCCACCCCTTCTTAGAAAAATTCTTCCCCTGCTCAGTAAATGGTAGCACAATCAACCCACTCATTTTAGCCCTAAATCTGGCATCCATCTCTCCCCTCCGCCCACCCCCCCAACCCCCACATCCATCACCCACTACCAGTTCCAAATTAGCTGGACTCTGACCTGTTCTCATATTACCTTGACCCAATCCACCATTGTCTGTTCTTTCTGCTTCTACCTCTTCACTCCTACAATCCACCCCCCCACCTCCCAATACAGCTGCAGTATAATCTTTTTAGAGTATAAACAGAATCAAGACTTGCCCCTCCATAAAACCCTCCAACGACCCACCACAGTAAGGATAAAATCCAAACTCATTTACTGGTGCCCGAGAGAAAGGCCCTGACGGTCCCGGCGCCGCCCAGCCTCTCCCGGCCCCGCCCAGCTCCTCCCGGCCCCGCCCAGCCTCTCCCGGCCCCGCCCAGCCTCTCCCGGCCCCGCCCAGCCTCTCCCGGCCCCGCCCATCTCTTCCCGGCTGCGCTGTCCCCAGCCGACCCAACCCAGAGCGCACGCGCCGCGACCTGACCCGGAAGAGGCTGCGCCGGAGCCCACGTGTTCGCGGAGCATGGTGGCGGTGGAGATGGAGAAGCGGGACGGCGCCGCGGCTATGTCTCCCGGAGAAGCGGCGAAGGGCGGCGCTCGGCCTGCCGACCGCCAGGGCCTGCTACAGCACAGCCGCGAGTTCTTGGACTTTTTCTGGGACATTGCGAAGCCGGAGCAGGAGACGCGGCTGCAGGCCACGGAGAAGTTGCTGGAGTATCTGCGCGAGAGACCGGAGGTATGGTGGCGGGGCCTGGGACAGGGCTGCGAGGGCCTCAGCAAAGAGGGGTTGGGGGTTGGGGCACGTGGTCGCGAACCTGGATGCCCAGGTGAGCGCGGGCCGAAGGGCGGAGGCGGGAGGCGGGAGGCGGGCGCGGGTCGATTCTCCTGACTGGTCGCCCCGGGAATGCGCTGGTTCCGCAGGGGTCCGAGATGCAGTACGCCCAGAAGCGCCTCATCGCTGGGCTCGGGATGGGGCGAGAAACCGCCCGGCCCTGCTACAGTCTGGCCTTGGCCCAGGTGAGGTGGGGACCCCTGGAATGGGACCGGCCGTGCTGGTCAAAACGGTGGGGAGTGCAGGGAGGGAGTCAGTGGTCTTCGGAGGGGAGAAGTTGGGGGAGGTGACATCTGAGCTGATGGGACGCGTCCCCACGTGGAGGTGTAGAGAGTGTATGAGCCAGGCATGTCTGCAGAGAAGCCCTAACAGGAGGATAGGAGGTTGAGCGGTTTTCTTTTTGGGACATGGATTGACCGACCTCTGAGGTGCAGTTGACTGGGGGCAGTAAACTTTGGAGTGGGTTCACTTATCTCTGCAACGTCTAGGACCCTCTAATCCAGTGGTTCTCAACCTGTGGGTCGCGACCACTTTGGCGGTCAAACGACCCTTTCACAGGGGTCGCCTAAGACCATCCTGCATATCAGGTATTTACATTACGATTCATAACAGTAACAACATTACAGCTATGAAGTAGCAACGAAAACAATTTTATGGTTGGGTCACAACATGAGAAACTGTATCTAAAGGGCAGAAGGTTGAGAACCACTGCAATCCCAAGTGCCACTCAGCCGATTATAGGCCGACCACTTCTGAGGAACATAAAGAGCTGGAAGCGCAATAAAGATCATTCCTTTAGGGTCAGCCTGAGGGGAGCTCCGAGCAGGCTGTGGGGATAGAGTGTCTCGGAATCTATTGTCCGAAGGAGGTACTTTCTGCAACCTGGGTCGGCATGGGGCAGGGAGGCAAGATTCAGCTCCTCTCGGCAGCAGATTCCATCATTGGTGGGTAGCTTCAGAGACATCCTCAGGGTTGGAGCAGGGATCCAAGGCCTCTGGGCAGAAACTGAAGGGAGAAGCAGGAGGAGGTTGAGGTCTGTTGGGATGTGGCTGGGCCACCCCCCTGAGCCCTCTCCCCTCCTGCCACAACTCCTGGCAGTTGTTACAGTCTTTCGAAGACATCCCTTTGTGCAGCATCCTGCAGCAGATACAAGAGAAACATGACCTGCGGACAGTTAAGAAGGTGAGAGTGAGTGTCCCCAGGGAGGTCAGCAGCCCTGGGTGGCGGGTCCTTGGGGCCTTCTCACCGATGCCCGAATCCTTTTCAGGTGATGAAGAGACCTGCTCTTTTTGCAAACCTGTTTGGGGTGCTAGCCCTCTTTCAGTCAGGCAGGCTGGTGAAGGTAAAAGCTTTGGGGGAACGGGATTATGTGGACTGGCTGGGGAGTGCTGGGTGACAGTGACACATCCTGCTCGTACCCTCTACCCTTTTGTGGGCACCAGGACTCAGAGGCACTGATGAAGTCCGTGAAGCTACTGCAAGCCCTGGCCCAGCACTACAACCACTTGCAGGAGCAGCCCCAGAAGGCCCTGGTGGACATCCTCTCTGAGGTACGGGTTTATGGAGTGTGGGGCCTTGGGTAGCGAGCACTACTCATATAGACACATGGAGAAGACATGACATAATGTTAACTAGTGGAGATGCTCTAGAGCAGCACTGTTCCGTAGAAATACAAAAATGTGTAACTGACACTTAGTAACTATATTACAAAGGTAAAAAAACTAGTTTAATGGCATACTTAATTAACCTGATACATCTATTAGGTTGCCTAAATAACAACCTAGTGTTATTTCAACATGCAATCAATATAAAAAGTTGTAGAAGTACTTTACATTCTTTTTGTCATGTTAAGTTTTTGAAAGCCAGTGTGTATTGTGCACTTAGAGCAAGTCTGTTCCGATTAGCATATCCCAGGTGCCCAGTAGCCACTTGTACCCAATGGCTGCCATATTAGACAGTGTAGTTACTAGAACAGCACCTAGCATGTTGCAAGTATATTTAAACATGTTTGCTGTTGTTTTGGGGCAGAACTGGCCCCTCAGGGGGGACCCCCTCCCCACTGCCCTACTTGGGAAATGGAGATAGGCTAATACCTGGAACCTTTTGCTACTGGGGAAAAGGCAAGGACAGTAAAATCCTGGACCCCAGCTTTCTGCACAGTTCTGGCTGCAGAACCAGAGGATCTGAATTTGAACCCCAGCTCTCCACTTGGGGTTCCTTATATAAGAAATGGGCTAGTCCTGAAAAACGCGAAAGAGGAATTATAAAAATGATGACCCCAAACCAATTGGCATCAGTGGGGTGCTTATTAAAAACCCAGCTTCCTGCCCTAGCCGGTTTGGCTCTGGATACAGAGTTGGCCTGTGGACTGAAGGATTCCAGGTTCGATTACAGCCAAGGGCATATGCCTGGGTTGTGGGCTTGATCCCCCAGTAGGGGGCATGCAGGAGGCAGCCGCTCAGTCATTCTCTCTCGTTATTGATGTTTCTATCTCCCTCTCCCTTCCTCTCTGAAATCAATAAAGAAATATGTTTTAAAAACAGCTTCCTGAGACTTGGAAATTGGAGCATTTTAACAAATACCCTCTGA